GCTGGGATTACAGGTGTGAGCTACCACGCCAACTGGTTTTGAACCATAAAGTTAGCAGTATTTAAATACCATTCATGTACTGCGTAAAGTGGAGTGAGTTTTAGAATTATACAAGATAAGAATCTTGCCCTGGAGGCAGCCTGTTTAGGTCTAGTTGGAGAAACAGGATCTTGACCCATAACTCAGCCTAGCTGATTCTATAACCTTTAGAAATGTTTAGTGTCTTTGGCCCTCCATTTTCTTGCTTGAAAAATGGAGATAATAACAGTCTATCTTAGGGTTCTTGTGAGAATTAAATGAGATAATGTTTCTGAAGGGTTTACAGCCCAGCCTTCATTTATATTACCTTATTTTTTTTTGTTCTTATTAGTCTAGAGATGTATGATTTAATTCATGTAGTAGCAGTATCTCACAGTAGCAGTAATTCTCAGAAAGCATATGTTACGTGTCCTGAAAGTAGTATGGAATGTGTCATGAGGATCAGAGGTGGGAAAGAGTGGTCTGGGGCAGTTAACCTTGGAGCAAGGTTTTGTGGAAGACTGCAGACCTGAATTGAGTTTTGAAGGGTGAACGTACTTTCAGATATGCATAGGAAGGACAGAGACTGACAGTTCTTAGGGAATATAGTCAGCAAAGATAAGAATATAAAAGCTTACGTTGTGTTGTAGTGAATAGATAAACATGTGGACAGATGTAGGAACAAAGATGTATTCTCATTTGCGACTAGAGAAGATGGGTATAGATTTAGTGAATGAAAACTATGAAGTGTCCATAGCCTAGACAGTAAAAACTAAATATTTATTCCCTTATTTATTTATAATTATAAATATTTATTTGTGAAATACATATGCATGTGAACTATTATCATTAGGCAATATCTCAAGGCATACAGTATTCCCTTATGGTAAGGTTTGTTGTTACTGGATTTGAATCTATATTTAATTTAATTTAATTTATTTTTAAAGTTTTTTGTAGAGATAGGATCTCCCTATGTTGCCCAGACTGGTCTCAAAACTCCTGGGTTCAAGTGATCCCCCTGCTTTGGCCTCCCAAAGTTCTGGGATTGCAGGTGTGAGCCACCTTGCCTGGCCTGAATCTATATTTTAAATAATCTTTTAGTAGTTTCTTACATTTGGCTGACTTGTAAGGTCTGATTCAGTTGTCATAGTTTCTACCATAGATGTTGCTAAAAGAAATGTCATCTCTGCCATTTTATGATTGGCTTTTGCTAATATTGGTGTTATCTTTAGTTTGAGGGAATATTGCCAGTTTTCATTTAATCAAAACTGAATCTGTAAATCCACTTACCTGGGCACATAAAAGCTGCTTCCGTATCTTTATATACTGAAATTAATAAATGAGGACTGTTGTCAACCCTTCCTCATTGCAAATCTTCTACGTTTCCCTCAGAGTGCTTTTCTACCTCTCACACCAGGCAGTGATGTCAGTGTCAGTTTGCATATTGAATATTAGGAAAGCTTAATTTCTTTTTTTTGGAGACTGAATCCTAGAGCAGTGTTCCTCAGAGTGTGGTTTTTGGGTCACCTATGTCAGAATGTCTTGGAGGGTGCTGGTTAAAATAAAAATTAGGTTGGTCGCAGTGGCTCACGCCTGTAATCCCAGGACTTTGGGAGGCCGAGGCGGGCAGATCACCTGAAGTCAGGAGTTCGAGACCAGCCTGGCCAACATGGCGAAACCCCATCTCTACTAACATACATAAACAATTAACTGGGCTTGGCAGCTAGTGCCTGTAATCCCAGCTACTTGGGAGGCTAAGGCAGGAGAATCACTTGAACCTGGGAGGCAGAGATTGCGGTGAACTGAGATCGCACCACTGCACTCCAGCCTGGGCAACAGAGTGAGACTCCATCTCAAAAATAAAATAAATAAAAATTAATAAAAATTTCTGGGCCCTCCTCACACCCTATCTAGGTGACTAAAGTTGACACTCACTAGCTAGTACAGAACTTGATGACATTGTGGGGTTTAGTGTATATGTAATATAAAAGAGATAGAGGCCTAGGAGCTCTCGTTATAGAAAATACATCTTTTTTTTTCTTTTCTTTTTTTCTTTTTTAAGGCAAGAGATTTGAGAGTGTTTATATCTGGAAGGGAAAGTATCTTATCTTAAAACCTCTTCTTATTAGAGAACAGTCACTGGTTTGAAAATTAGATAGTGAATTTGAGTTTTTTATTTCAAAGTTTGTTTTGCAATTTTTTATTAGGTGGAAATTAAAAGTGGAGGACATGATTATTACAATGTCCTTCCCAATAAGAGCCTATGGAAAGCCTATATGGAAAATGGAAGAAAACTAGGAATAGAGTTCATTTCAGAAGATACAATGTTGAATGGCCCTTCAGGTAATTAAGTTCTTTTTTTAATATATTGAGCTATTTGAGGAAGAGAAATACCGTCTTTGGTGAAATTGGTTTTATTTAATGGTTTGGGAGGTAGGGAGGTACTGCTGACATTTTTAATATTTTCACAAACTTTATGATTAGGAGAAAGAAACTAATGGACTCTTAAGTGAGTATAGAATGTCAAACGAGCCAATTTGATTTTAGAAATAGTCAACCTACATTTTAGTCTATATTCTAAATATTTTCTAATGTTTAAGTTTCTTTAGTTTTAATTGTTAAGTAAGTGGCTAAGGTGGGATATAGAATTTTAATTCATTCTCAGTCATCACTATAAGCAGGTTACTAAGTACTTAGTTATCTGGGGCATTTTCAGTTTCTGAGGAGCAACAGACAACTAGAATTGAAATAAGCATATTTGGGGTTATGTTAGTTTATTTTCCTTTTAAAAGCATATTATTACTAACACATTTGCAAGTTAGAGATGTATCTTCTGTTTTAAAAATAGATGTTGATGAAGTAGGCCCAAAAGGACTTGGTGGTGAAATGGGGTATCATTGTCTTTCATTAAGATAAGGAGTTCAAGAGAAAGAGCAGGTTAGGGTAAGAGGGGGTTGTTATAAACTAGTATGTTAAACTTGAGGTGCTTATAGTATTTCTAAGTGGAGCTGTTCAGTACCTGTTAAATTTAGAACCCAAAAAGATGTCTAGTTTGGAGATTTAGGAGTTGTCCATATATGAAAGGTAATAGAAGATGTTGACGAGGTTGCCCAAATACATAAAGGAAGAAGATTCCCAGAGATCAGACATTGGTAGTCAACAGTCAACAGAGTGAAAGCCAGACAATCAGGAGAGAGGAGAAGGAGAGTCATGGAAGCCAAGGGAGAACAAAACTTACCGAAGAGAAGGAGGTGTAAACATAGTAGGTGCTGTAGAGACTAAATAGGATGAGTATGGTCTAGTGTCCGCTGGATTCTAGTAATTAGAAATTCACAAATTGTCTGGAAGAAAATAGTACAAGACCAGTGGTACCAGATGCTGGGTCTCACTTCTCTACCCAGTGCATTGACTGGTGAGATAGTGGAAGTAGCAAAGGAAGACTATTCTTTTTCAAGAGAGTTAGCTTTCAAGAAAAATAGAGTGGATACAAGCCTGAGGGAAATATGGAAAATAAAATAGTTTTTGTTTTTTGTTTTTTTTTTGAGACGGGGTCTCACTCTGTCGCCCAGGCTGGAGTGCAGTGGCGTGATCTCAGCTCACTACAAGCTTTGCCTCCCAGGTTCACGCCATTCTCCTGCCTCAGCCTCCCGAGTAGCTGGGACTACAGGCATCCGACACCACGCCTGGCTAGTTTTATTTTTTTTATTTTTAGTAGAGACGCGGTTTAACTGTGTTAGCCAGGATGGTCTCGATCTCCTGACCTCGTGATCTGCCCTCCTCGGCCTCCCAAAGTGCTGGGATTACAGGCGTGAGCCACTGTGCCTGGCCACGAAAATAGTTTTTAAGGGAAGATACTTGAGAAGTAGATGTACTGTTTAGGAAGAAGGTCAGGGAGTTCAGAGACTTTCCCTTTAGGAAGTAGCACACAGTGAGCATTGAGCTGGCAGGGCTGAGGGATTGAGAGAGAATTGCCACTGAGAGGAGTTGGCCAGGGACATCAGAGTTTCATGTTTTCTTTTGTTTCTGGACAGCATGAGCGCTTAGCTCAGCATTGAAGATCATGAATTTGTTGTTAAGGCAGTCTTCATGGTTCTCTTCTTTTACCCTAGCAGGTTTCTGCAGTCTAGCTAAAGAAGGGAAGACACACGGACAGCCCTACCCTGGGTTTGGGTTTTATATAATGGACAAATCAGTAGGATAAAGTGGCTGTGATTTTGGTATGATTTATAGGCTCTAGGGTCTATCTCCACTAGTAAGATCTTAAAATAGGCAACAGGCTTTTTTTTGTCCATCCTATTTTGTTTTGTTTCGTTTTCACACTCAGACTGTTTAGACTCTTTAAACACCAGAGAGGCTTTTTCCGTCCTGTTCACTGATGTCCCATCACTGTGCATTCTCAGTGTCTGGAGCCGTTTCTGGCACAGTTAAGTGCTTAGTGAATATTTTCTGAAGCAGTACTTTTATAGAGGATACTATGCCTCAAAGTCTGGCCTCAGTCTGCATTTGCCACATAACTAGCAGCTGTGAGACTATCAGCATGTTATTTAATACCCATAAGCCTTGGTTTCTTCATATTTAAAATGGAAACTGTTCTAAATGTTAATGAGAATACATGCAAAGCACTGAGGATTGTGTTTGGAACGTAGTATTCCAGATAAATGTTAGCTACTCTTTGTTACATATTCCTTTATTCTCTTACCACTCACTGTGTAGTCTAACTTTGCCTGCATGGTGTTTGACATGTAATAAACATTCAGTAAATATCCATTGAGTGAACATAAGGCTTTGTTTTTACTGTGATTTCTTCAGCAAGAGTCTGTGTGTCAATCCTGTGAGAAGCTAGATGCACAGTCATTTCAAATACTATTTCTTGCTGTATACAGCCTCATAATCTAGTTTCTGAGATAAGCATGAACCAAATCATCCAATACATGGAAAATTAAAAAGTCCTGTAAAGGACAGCAATACATCTCTGTGAGAGCCTGTCCTAGAGGAATTTCACTTTATGGGGAGGTGAAGTAAGTAAAGCTTTGCTGAGAAAATGATGCTTAAGTTGGAATTTGAAGGTTAAGTAAGAGTTACAGGGATGATGCAGGGATAGCATGTGACGGTCCTGTGACGGGGAGAGCATAGTGAGTGTCTAGAGTGACTGGGGCATCGAGGGTAGTGGGAACGTGGTATGAGATCAGGTTGGAAAGGTAAATGAAGATTGAAAAAAAAAATCAGCAAATAGAGTAGATGCTGCTAGACCAATTAGGAAACTTTTAGTTCAGGCAAGAGATAATGATCGCATAGACTGGAGACAGGTGTTGGTGATGGTGATGCAAAGAGCGTTAGGATTCTGAGATATTTGGCAGATACTGTTGATAGGTGGGGTGGAGGTGGAAGAGGAGAAAGATCATGAGTTTAACTTTAGATATGTTAAGTTTGATCTACCTTGAAGACATCCAAGAGAAGATACCAGGCCGGCAACTGGATGTATGAACATGAAATTTAGAAGAGACTGAGAAGAGATTTGAGTTGGTGATTATTTGAAGCAATACATACGGACAAAATCTTGAGAAAGAATATACAGTGAGAAGAGAAAGGGGCCTGGAATGGAGTCTCCTATAACTAATATTTCATCGTCAGGTAGAGGGGGCTGTATCCCCAAGAGAGACAGAAGAAGGGGCCATCAGAGAGGCAGAAGGGAAACCATGCAAGTGCTGTGTCACAGAAGAGAAGAAAGGGAGTAAGTAACAGTGTGGAGTGCGGCCTAAGAGGGCCGGTAAAAGCCTTGAGATCAGGCAAGGACAGGTTTATAGTGACCTTCATGAGAGATGTGACTGATGCAGGGGAGTGTGTGGCAGACTCAGTGGAAGGTGAGCCCATGAAAACACGAGCATATGGACAACTCTCCAAGAAGCTCACTTCTCTGGGTCTCTTCTAACAGGGACTGTGACTTCATAACTCAAGAATACTTAACCACATATACTTAAATAGACTTTTTTTCCTTTGTGTGTTCCAAGGATCTACGGATTTTGGAAATGTTACTTTTGTGGTTCCTGGAATTCATCCATATTTTCACATTGGATCTAATGCCTTGAATCACACTGAACAGTACACTGAAGCTGCTGGTAAGTGTTGTTGTATGTGACCGTTTTGGCACACGCACTCTTCTGTAGTAGCTGCCTTTCTGTTTAACCTACTGTTTCACTACATAACATCGCCTCAGTGAATACTGCACTGTGGGGGGCAGTTGGAGAGCCAGTTGAGATACGGATAGCTAACTTGTGAAATTAAATACAGTTTAAATAAGTAAGAACGTATTTTATTTTCTCTACCTTTTAGGGTCACAGGAAGCTCAGTTCTACACTTTGCGGACGGCCAAAGCCCTGGCAATGACAGCACTGGATGTTATTTTTAAACCAGAGTTACTGGAAAGAATCAGAGAGGACTTTAAACTGAAACTTCAAGAAGAACAGTTTGTAAATGCAGTAGAATAGAAGGAAGACTTAGGGACCGCTTATAAATCAAGAAGATATGATGATTTTTTTTCTTTTAATCTCTTTTAATGAAGGCATGCTTGTTTTTTAATCTTAAAGGAGTCAAATTCTTTTTACCTGATAAGTGAGGACAGGGTGTGGAGAAAACATATTACCTCATATCTGAAGTGAAAATTTTTGCAAATCTGTACTGGATGGGATTATGATATTACAGGAGCTGGTGTGTAATGCCATTTCTTTTCTTTCCCCCGCAACCACTCACCTTCACAGTAGTGATACCATTTCTTAAACTACCTGGAGGATACATGGCATCATTTTAATAAAATATTTTAATAAATCTTTTTATAAGCCTTACATGTTGTCTGTATTTTTAAAAGCTTAAGAGATTTCAAACCTTGTATTCAGAATTGACACCTATGAGAGTGTTTTGTGGTATAGGGTGGTAAACTTGTTCTCTAATCGTGTATTATTCCTCTACCAGATTGTATATTTGAAGCCAGTATCTATCTTTTTTTTTTTTTTTAAGACAGAGTCTCGCTCTGTAGCCTAGGCTGAAGTATAGTAACATGATCTCGGCTCACTGCAACCTCTGCCTCCCAGGTTCAAGTGATTGTCTTGCCTCAGCCTCCCGAGTAGCTGGGATTACAGGTGTGTGGCGCCATGCCCAGCTAATTTTTGTATTTTCAGTAGAGACGGCATTTCACCATGTTGGCCAGGCTAGTCTTGAACTCCTGACCTCAGGTGATGCACCCGCCTTGGCCTCCTGAAGTGCTGGGATTACAGGCATGAGCCACCACACCCGGCCTGCCAGTGTATTTTTAATACACACGTGTGTTGGTATTTTTAAATTGTTACAGTGTCTAGCATATTGCTTACTCTGAATATTCAGTACTTCTTGAATAAGCAAATATTGCTTCCTTGCTTGGAATCATCAAAGTTTAAAGTAGCTTCGTGGATGGACCATGATCCTAAGATGAGTTTTAATTGTGATTATAGTCATCTCTTGTACAGCCTGGAGAAGAAAAGATATACTTACTACTTTGCTTTGGGTACACATAAGAAAACCTCTTTTTAAAAAAACTTTTTATTTTTTTTACATAATAGAGGCAGGGGCTCACTATATCTTCCAGGCTGGTCTCAAACTCCTGGGCTCAAGCAATCCTCCTGTCTTGGCCTCCCAAAGTGTTGGGATTTCAGGTATGAGACACCACACCTGCCCATTTTTGTTTTGTTTTTTAATGGGCAGGTTCTTACTCTGTTTCCCAGGCTAGAGTGCAGTGGTGTAATCACAGCGCACTGCAGCCTCGAACTCCTGGAGTCAAGCAGTCCTCCCACCTCAACCTCTTAAAGCACTGGGATTACAGGCTTGAGGCACTGCACCTGGCCCTGACTCATTTTTTAAAAAGGTTAGGCTGACTTAGTGCAAAGTTTAAAATTATACGATTCTTAAAATGCAGAATTAGTTTCTAACCTAAACTAGAGGTATAGGTGGACCTGCTTGAGATATCTTTTGTTTTTATGGAACATTTTTATTACACGCCTTTATAGTTTTTCATTGTTCATGCCCTGTACTGAAACCTTTTTCTCAATACCAACTCTCGACTGTGTTGAATTTATAGACTTTAAAAGATATTATCTAAATTAATGGTTTAAATATACAAATTGAGAATATTTTCTTTTTAGTGGTAATTTTAAAAGCGGGCCTTAATATGGGACCTGCTTTTAAAGTAAAATAATTATGTGGTACTATGAATTACTAAATTGCTATATACCATGTAATAGTGAGTATAGCTAATATTTAGTATGCCTTTTAAAAATTTTGGACTGCCTTTCAGTTTTAACAAATTCTCCACATTATGTGAACTACTCAAGAAATTTTCCCTTTTTAATTGTCTCTATAACACTCATAAGAGCTAGGGCATTAGGATAAACTAGAATATTTTATGTTTATGAATACTTGTATACACTTAAAAGTGTTTTGATCTCCCACAATTTCCCAAAGAAATGTTTATTTATTAAGAGTTGTGTTGATATTTTAACGGTTACAATTTCAGCAGTTGAGTTCAGTGAACATTGGTTGAGGAGTGCATATTTCTAAGCACTGGGTGTAAGAAGGAAAGACACTGCAAGAGGAAGAACTAAGATTAACATAATTTCTTTAGTTTTTCTATTGCTTGTTATGTAAAAACTGGGTGGCAGTTCAGAAGGAAGATTGTTGTAACAGAAGAGTGACAACCAAGAATTTTTTGATCATTAAATCAGATTTTGTAAACAGTGGCAGGAACATGGACTTAAAACAAGGCTTGCTTATTTGGTTTTGTCAAAATTTTATGAAAATATGTGATATATATTTATACTAAAACTATATAATCCTTAGATTTAGAAAAGCAATCAGTTAATGTCTTTAGCGCACTAAAGCAGTATTAAACACAGGTACAAGTTGGAAATTGTAGAAAACTGAAAGAAAACAAAAGACAAAATGTGTGTGGTAGGGAATTAAAGAGTTTAAGATATTATATAAAATTACGTGTATTTTCTTCTCTTTTACATAAATCATTTGTGAAAAGTGTGCTCAACTTTTTTACAAGAGTGATATTAATTAGGATTTGTTTTTCAATATAATTTGGAGACCCTTGGTTATCCAAATAAAAATGATGAGTCTCTGTGCCTGTTTAAAAAAAAAAAAGAAAGAAAAGACAGTGTGTGTGCCCCAGAAAGCTTGTGGTGGGTAGTAAGTTTTCACAAGATTTATTCATCTGAGAAACGCTGGGACTGAGGGAACATCTGAAAGCTACCATCTTGAAAATTTTTGAGGAAGTGTTTCTGAAATATTTAAAAATACTTCAGTCACTTTAGTCATTTTGAACAGCAGAAATTGATGCAAAAAGTTTTTTTTTTTAAGGATGATTGTCTAATTTTGTAATATATTCTTTTTTAAAAACCTGTCTGATGGTGTTTTATACATTTCTAACTTTTTACCTGAATTACCTCTTTAGTCTTTTGGAAAATATCCTACATAAGACTAACCTTTAAAACTATCAGATTTTTGTTGTAAGATAAATGTTATCTTTGTACTAGATAGCAACCCTTTATAAGGTTGTAAGGTATGATAAACTGCTTCTTTATTACATACTTCATAGCAAGCATTTTGCAGTCCAATTATATAGTTGAGGATGGTGTATTTTGGTATATATGAAAATATTTTCAAGTAAGCAGTCTACTACCATCAGATTATAAGCTTTTTTGTAATATTTTAATAGGTACATAAAATATGTATGAAAAATCTATAATAAACATGTTTATCTGATAGCAATTATCTTGCTTTTTTAATGACATGAAGATATATATGAAGATAAAGCACAATTACCCAAATCCATTGTGATACACTATACTTTTTCTTATGCATCAGTATCATAGATGTTGACTTGCTTTTCTATTATGTGTCATATATTTTAAAAGAACAATTAAGTTCTTTTGTTGAAAAATGAATGTTTCACTAGTCTCAGAAGCTAAAAAATTGCAGTGCAAATTGTACATGACAGGAGGTAAATACAGAGTTATAGTATTGAGTCCTTTTTTAAAAAAAGTTTCCACCTTCAATACAGAGTAATTCCATGTAATAACACAAATGCAATGGAACAGGTTTTTAGATCCTGGTTAAAGTATAAGTGCCTCATATGAGAAAAGTCACAAATGTCCAGGTTTCTTTGTTTAAACTGGTTTTTTATTTTTATTCTTACTTTTGGAGACAGTGTCTCGCTGTCAACCAGGCTGGAGTACAGTCAGTGTTGTGATCACGGCCCACTGCAGCCTCACCTTCTAGGCTCAAGCAATCCTCCTGCCTCAGCCTCCTGAGCAGCTGGAACTATAGGCATGCACCCAGCTAATTTTTAAACTTTTTATACAGATGGGATCTCAAACTCCTGAGCTCAAGCGATCCTCCTGCTTTGGCCTCCCAAAAGACTAGGATTAGGGCATGAGCCACTGAACCCAGCCTTAGACTGGCTTTCAAAATAGAGCCCAAATCTGTTCTTTTTTTAAAGAGATTAATATGTAAGATTAGCTTTTGTTAGTTCAATAGATCAAAGCACCTAACCACCTTATAAAAGAAACCTCAGAAATATAAAATAGAGATTATCAGGTCAGGGTCTTAAGTGGACAATAATCTTGTTGAGGTCAGAGACAGTAGACATTGCCTCCCTGGACGAACAGTCGCATTTGGGAGTTTGAATTTTTTTTCTGTTTGTTGTGTTGTTGGTCACTGACAACATATTTAGCTCAAGAGAATGGAAAAGAGTTAAAAACCTGCATCTTTTCCATTTGCATTTATTTAAGATAAACCAAAGCTTCTAAATTGACTCACTGGTTATTGCCTGAAATGATAAGGATTCAGGATTAACAGTAGCCTCATGGCATGTCATCTGGTCTGACACTTTCCTTGAAGAAAGATCATGTGTTAGAGTACGGAACCTTAAAGAGTTTGATTAGAAGCTGAGTAAAAATCCTTGAGTATAAATAGTTAAGAGTTTGCTCATTGGGCCTGGCACGGTGGCTCACGCCTGTAATCGGCACTTTGGGAGGCCGAGGTGGGTGGATCACCTGAGGTCAGGAGTTTGAGACCACCTGGCCAACATGGTGAAACCCCGTTTCTAGTAAAAAAATACACAAATAGCTGGGTGTGGTGGTGGGCACCTGTAATCTCAGCTACTCGGGAGGCTGAGGCAGGAGAATTGCTGGAATCCAGGTGGCAGAGGTTGCAGTGAGCCGAGATCGTGCCATTGCACCCCTGCCCGGGCTGACAACAGCGAGACTCCGTCTCAATGAATGAATGAATGAATGAATGAAAGTTTGCTCATTGCCTGAGAGCACGATAGGATGCCAGGAAGAAGTGAACTCAGATGCAGTTGAAACCTAATGCTTTAAACTAATATC